GGTGGGAGGGGCCAGGTGGGAAGGGGGCAAGTGGGAAGGGGGCAGGTGGGAGGGGGCAGGTGGGAGGGAGCAGGTGGGAGGGGCCAGGTGAGAGGGAAGGATTCGCAGCCTCCCAGAGACCAGCCCGCCTCCGGCTCTGCACCCTCCGGCCCCGCCCCTACAGGCCTCGGCCCCGCCCCGACGACCCAGGCTCTGCCCGGCCCCGCCTACCTTCTTCTGGAAGGCCACGCCCCCAAAGGTGCGCTCGTCGAAGCCGTAGCCGCGGCTCAGCAGCTGGTGCACGAACACGGCGGTGGCGCAGTGGCTGGCCAGGTGGGCCTGCTGCCCCGGCGCCTGGGCCTGCAGCTGGGACCGGGGCAGGACACGGCCGTGACCATGGGACAGGAGCCGCGCCGTCCCCCACCCACAGGCCAGACAGCGGCAATGCCTGGAGATGGTGCCCCACCCGGGGCCCGGCAGGGATCGGCAGGGAGGGCCGATCCAGCAGCTGGGCGGCAGTGGAGCTGCGGACCTGTGGGCAGGAGCCCCAGGCTTTGATCTGGTCCCCACCTCTGCCGCCTTCCCCAAGACACCTTTGTGCGCAGCTACTAGACAGGATGGCACAGGGCCTGGCGCATTTCTTCAGGAGTCTCACGCAGACACCTCCAGCTGCTCAGCCCCATGCCCTTCCTTAACAGGGACTAATGTCTAGCCAGTGGCAGAAGGCAGAGCCCCGAGTCCGTTCAGCTCCTCATGCTCCACCCCAAACCCTGCCAGTTCTCTCTGCCACATCTCCCTGGCCTGCCTTCTCCCCCACGCTGCCCCTGCTATAGCTCCCTTGGTCCCTGCCAGCTCCACACTGCTCGGCAGAACTTTATGCTGCTCCCCTCTGCCCTCCAGGAGTGGGTGCAGGTCCGGCCTCAGAAAGCCAGGGAACCCCAGCCCACTTGGCCCCAAACTCCCCAGCTATAATCTGGCCATATCTTGAGTACAGCATGGTCATTCCTCCGCCCAGTCAGTGGTATTCTGGAAGACCTCCCTTCAGGCAAAACAAAGGGATGGGGGGGGCAGAGGAAGGGAATCCCTCCCTCCAGGCAGTGCAAAGGGATGGGGGGCAGAGGAGGTGAGCAGGCCTCACCTCGGCCCAGGTCTGGTTGCAGAGGGTGCCGGAGGCCGCCTCGAGTTGCTGCAGGGTGGCAACGGGCAGTCCCATCACAGTTCTGAGGAAGTCCACGGTGTAGTAGAAAGCAGAGAAGGCCTGCGGGGAAGGGAGGAGCACGGTGACACGGTGACCCAGCGGCCTGGCTGGAGAACCTCAGGCCCTCTCCCTCTTCTCCTGAGACTCACGATGAAGCTCCCAGCCACGGGGGGCTGGAAGACCCCATTGAAGGAACACAGGGAGAAGCGGCAGGAGGAGAAGTTGAAGAGGCTGGAGACAAGGCTGCGACAGAGGATGGGGTCGCTGGTCCCAGACAGGCTGACCCTGGTGCTGCTGTTGAGGCCGGGGGGCCGCTGGCCCGCTGTGCACGGTGACTGGTACACCTCCCCAAGCAGCACTTGGGAGGAATAGCCTCTTGGCCAGCAAGGGTGGAAACCATGGGTCTGAGGGAGTGACCAGAGGGTGAGAGGTGCCCCATGACTCCCGCCCCGCCACAGAGGGCCAGCGGATACACTGCCCCCGAGTCAAAGAGAGCAGCATCGCCTGTGTTCAGGAGCCATCAGAAGATAGGTTCCGTAGTGAAAAAATCAAGGCCTTCTGAGATCACCCGGCTCTCGTTTCTCCAGGCCCCTACCCCCCCCCGCCCCAGCCGTGGCTATGCTGGGTCCCCCCCTCTGGTCTTTGGCTGATGAAAGGCAGGTGGGAGAGGCTGTGCTCTGGGCCCTGTCCCTCCGCTCTGTCCCCTTGCAGTGGTGGGGGCAGCCTGAGCATGCACAGGTACCTGGAGGGCGCTGGCCAGCAGCCTCTGGAGGACCTGGTCTCGGCCGTAGCAGAGGAAGCTGTGAGTATACACTCGGTATTTCTGGCCGTAGAGCTGCAGGTGGACTTCATTGGCTGGGTCCTCGGCCGGACTGGCTGTCTCAAAGGTGATCTGCGTGGAGGCACCACCGAGGTCCATGGCCCCCGTCGTCCCCCTCCTTGGCCGGAACCACCGGCCCACCCAGCCATACTGCGGAGAGTGGAGGTGGGGTTGGTGGATGGACAGGACTGGGCTCCTCAGGCCCATGGCCAAGCCCCCCCTGGGCCCCTGCCAGGTGCCCAACAGGCCCACCTTGATGAAGTTCTCCAGCAGGTAGTTGGCAGTCACCCAGCCAAACACTCCCTCATCCTGGCCAGAGAGGATGCGCGCACCACGGAAGTCAAAGGGGTACTGGGTCAGCGTCTGAGTCACCGCCCCAAGCACACCGGCACAGGCCTCGGGACTGGTGAGACTGCGAAGGAGGGAGGACTGAGGGGCTCCTCCCCATGCAGCCGGAAGGACTGAGGGGCTCCTCTCTGTGACACGGAGGACTGAGGGGCTCCTCTCTGTGACACAGGACTGAGGGGCTCCTCTCTGTGACAGGGGGAGGACTGCGGGGCTCCTCTCTGTGACAGGGGGAGGACTGCGGGGCTCCTCTCTGTGACACGGGAGGACTGCGGGGCTCCTCTCTGTGACACAGGACTGAGGGGCTCCTCTCTGTGACAGGGGGAGGACTGAGGGGCTCCTCTCTGTGACCGGGGGAGGACTGCGGGGCTCCTCTCTGTGACCGGGGGAGGACTGAGGGCTCCTCTCTGTGACACGGGAGGACTGAGGGGCTCCTCTCTGTGACACGGGAGGACTGAGGGGCTCCTCTCTGTGACAGGGGGAGGACTGAGGGGCTCCTCTCTCTGACACGGGGAGGACTGAGGGGCTCCTCTCTGTGACACGGGAGGACTGAGGGGCTCCCCTCTGTGACACGGGAGGACTGAGGGGCTCCTCTCTGAGACAGAGGGAGGACTAAGGGGCTCCTCTCTGTGACACAGGAGGACTGAGGGGCTCCTCTCTGTGACACGGGAGGACCGAGGGGCTCCTCTCTGTGACACGGGAGGACTGAGGGGCTCCTCTCTGTGATAGGGGGAGGACTGAGGGGCTCCTCTCTGTGACACGGGAGGACTGAGGGGCTCCTCTCTGTGACACAGGACTGAGGGGCTCCTCTCTGTGACGGGGAGGACTGAGGGGCTCCTCTCTGTGACACGGGAGGACTGAGGGGCTCCCCTCTGTGACACAGGAGGACTGAGGGGCTCCTCTCTGTGACACCGGAGGACTGAGGGGCTCCTCCCTAGGCCCCTCCTGGGGGCGTCCCAGCCCCAAGCAGTGGCCAGCAGCCCGTAGGCCCCTCATGCAGGTTAAGGTCAAGGTTGAGGCTCAGGTATACTGACTTGAGCAGCCTCATGCCCGCTGTGGCGCCCAGGTAGAGCGGCGTTCTGGAATGTTGGTCTTTGGGCACGTCCCTAAGCGCCTGTTCAAGACATTCAACCAGACTCTGGCCGGCCCCGGCAGGGTCATCCGCGTAGCTGGAGATGCCCCCACCTGGAGAGGGTAGGTGTAAGCCCAGCCTGGCAGACAGCCCCCAGGGGTTGCTGCTGGGGTGCCTGCCTCCCAGCCAGGTGGCAGCTTAGACACACCTTGCCTGCCCACACCCCAAAGACACCCATCTCAGAGAGAGACAAAGGCGCGCAGGGGCCACCCCGTCTCTGAGGCTGCCGCCCGCCTGGTGGGCGTGGGCACAGGTGCCTGGACAAAGCATGGGGCACTGTCTGCCCAGTCTAGCTTCCCAGGGTCCAGCCTGGATGTGGGTGCTGGACGCTCAGAGCACAGAGGCTTGTTGAGCTGGTCAAGGCCCAGACTGTCGACCTTTCTAGAACACAGGCCTCGTATGGCCCCTCCCGGGCCCAGAGGGCCCAGTCTGTTTCTGAGACTCCTGCTGACACAACCCTACCAGCCCCACACAGAGGGCCAGGCCAAGCCAGGGTCCCCAAGATGCCCACAGGGGGCTGAGGCTAGGACAGGTTTGGTGCTGGGCGTCTACCCACCCTGAACATCACAGGAGCTGTGCTGGCCCACGATGCCCGTGTCATTCTCCTTGTCTGCTGGCCACTTGTAGATAAACATGGATGTGTGCGAAGAGCCGGCATCCAGGACTATGCCATACTGAGGGGAGGGGAGGGAGCAGTCAGCCTGGAGGTCCAGGAGTCCTGAAGAGCCCCCCCACTTTACTGCTGCCTGATTTGTGGTGAGCTTAATGCCATAACCACAGCAATACAGCTTTCTTTCTTTCTTTCTTGTTGGTTGTGGGTCTTGAACTCTGGGCCTTGCGCTGTCCCTCAGCTGTTCAGCTCAAGGCTAGTGCTCTGCCACTTGAGCCACAGCGCCACTTCCGGTAATGCAGCTTTGATATAAGGAGAATTAGCAAAGGTCTCTTGGGTGATCCTCCTTCTGACTGCCTGGTGTCTGGATGCCATGATCGGGAAGCAGCCTTCCTAGTGGAGGCAAATCCGGGTCCCACTATTACATCTGCAGTTTTGCCCTACGCTCCAGGGGCGGCTCAGGGAGGCAGAACCCAGCTGCAGATGAGCCCCTTGGGCCTCTCTTCCTTCCTACTCTGCAGCTGTCTGCCCTGACCTTAGCCAGACCTGAGGATGTGCATGGGAGGCCTGGAAAAGAGCTTCCAATACGCATCTCCTCTCTGAGCCTCAGAGTGAGGGTCAGAGGGGTCTCAGCTGTGGCGCTGCGAGGGGCTGGGGGGCTCAGTACCGGCGTGTCAGGGCTGGGCCTACACCTGCCTCCAAGGTCCGGCCTCCACCCTGAGAGCCCGGCTGGAGGTCAGGCTCGGGTCGTGCCAACACCAGCCTGGGAAAGACTATGCCGCCCTGCACACCAGGAGCCCACCCGGG